ATTTTTAAACGTTATTCCTAATAACTTAATAATCCTTATAGTGGGATTTATAAAGTTGCTGTTGACGTTGAAGTTCCAGTTACAGTTGCTGTTCCCGCTGACGTTGCTTTTAGAACTGACAATTGTCATTTATAAACTCCGTTGTCAAGTTGTCGTTCAACTTTTGTCGTATTTAAAGGGGTTGTAGAAAAAAAAAGTGGAAGATTTAAGTTGATTACTATATATATTTACCACTTTAGACATGTTTTACGTTTCTTGTTGTCGAAATAAGTCTACAAATATAAGAAACAGAGACAAAGTGTAGCCCCGCCCGCCCACCCTATTTCAATTGTGATGATTTTTTTTATGCGTCGTGACTCAATAAGGCGGAGCTTAACTGCAAAATACTTATTTCTCTACGAGAAATTAAGCAATGTTCTTGAGTATCGTGTTGTTCAAAGAATACTATATCTATTAAGAAAAAAAATAAGCCAAAGATTAGGCCCCACCGATACCCGCCCCGATCTCAATTCGCAATTGTGATGAATTTGTCATTCGTCGTCAGATCGAGGGGCCGGGCTTAATTGCAAAATCCATTTTTGTGTACAAGCATTTTCTATTTTAAACATGTTTTAAGTTTCTTGTTCTAAAAAGACGACTACGTATATTAAGAAAAAGGTAAAATATAAGCCCCGCCCACCCGCCCTATCTCAATTGTGATGATTTTTTTATAATGGTCAAGAGCCAAATCTAAGACATGTTTTTGAGTATCGTGTTATTTGAAGAATACTATGTATATTAAGAAAAAATTAAAGCTAAAGATTAAGCCCCACCCATACCAGACCCTGATCTAAATAGTAATGAAGTTTTCATTTGTTGGCAGGCCTAGGGGCGAAGCTTAATTGCAAAATCCATATTTTCTTACAAAATTTACCATTTTAAACGTGTTTTAAGTTTATGAAATTAAAAAAGTTCACCACAATTGAGATAGGGAGGGTGGGCGGGGTTTATATTTTGCTTTTTTTACTTAATATACACAGTACTTTTTGTACAACACGACACTCAAAAACATGTTTTTAATTTCTTGTAAAGAAATAAGTATTTTGCAGTTAAGCTTCGCCCCGTTGGTTCATGACGTATAAAAAAAAATCATCACAATTGAGCCAGGGCGGGTGGGCGGGCTTACATTCTGCCTTTTTGTATTAATATGTGTAGACTTCCTTTCACATCATGAAACTTAACACATGTTTAAAGTGGAAAATTTGTATAAGGAAATATCGATTTTCCAATTAGACTCCGTCTAATAATTGCAAAATCCATATTTCCTTGCAAAAATGTACCATTTTAAACATGTTTTAAATTTATTGATCTGAAGATACGACTACGTATATTAAGAAATAGGTAAAACATATGCAAAAATTTACCATTTTAGACATGCTTTAAGTTTCTTATTGTCGAAATAAGTATGCATATATTAAGAAAAAGAGGCAAAACGTAGCCCCGCCCACCCGCCCTATCTCAATTGTGATTATTTTTTTATTCGTCGTGAGCCAAAAAGGCGGAGCTTAACTGCAAAATTCTTATTTCTTTACGATAAAGTAAAAATAATTATGTCTTTAGGTTGTTCAAAGAATGTATATTATGAAAAAAATAAACACAAAGATTAGGCCCCACCCATACCCCCCCCCCCCCACAATTGTGATGATGATACTCAAAAACATGTTTTTAATTTTTTGTATTTTGCAGTTAAGCTCCGCCCTCTTGATTCACGGTGAATAAAAAAATCATCACAATTGAGACAGGGCGGGTGGGCGGGCTTACATTCTGTCTTTTTGATTTAATATGTGTAGACTTATTTTCACAACATGAAACTTAAAACATGTTTAAATTGGAAAATTTGTATAAGGAAATTTCGATTTTGCAATTAGGCTCCGCCCCATAATTGCAAAATCCATAATAACCCGGACTTTTTCAATTCTGATGATTTTTTTTATTCGTTGTAAGCTGAGGGGTGGGGACGCTTAACTGTAAAATCCTTATTTTTTACAAAAAATTACCATGTGAAATATGTTCTGAAGTAATCGTGTTATACAAAGAAAACTAGATGTATTAATTAAAAAAGAAAACCAAAAGAGAAGTTCTACCCATCCGTCTCGATCTTAATCGTGATGAATTTTTCATTCATTGTCAGATCGAGGGGCGGAGCGTAATTGCAAAATCGATATTTCCCTATACAAATTTACCGTTTTAAACATGTCTTAAGTTTCTTGTTATGAAAAGACGACTACACACATTAAGAAAAAAAGGCAAAATGTGAGCTTCGCCCACCAGCCCTATCTCAGTTGTGATGTTTTTTTTATACGTCGGAAGCCAAGGGGGCGGAACGTAATTACAAAATCCTTATTTCTCTACAAGAAATAAAAAACATGTTTTTGAATATTGTGTTGTTCAAAGAATAGTGCGTATATTAAGAAAAAAACAAGCCAGAAAGTAAACCCGACCACCCATATCCATCCCAAGCTCAATTGTGATGAATTTTTCAGTCATTATCAGACCGAAGGGCGGAGCTTAACTGAAAAATCGATACATTGCTACAAAAATTTACCATTTTAACCATGTTTTACCTTTCTTGTTGTGAAAAGAAGACGACACATATTAAGAAAAAAATGTAAACCCTTGTATTTTATAATACCTAATTTGATTTTCGTGGAATTAGTGCTGTCAGTCAGAAAAATATCCCCCTACTTCAGGGGATTTTCCTTCAAGTTGGCAGCACTACAAGCTCCCACAATTTCATTGGTTAAACCCAACGTCAACAGCAACGTAATACCTTTTAATAAATACTTAATTAATATTTTTCTGGTTAGGATATATATACAAATTTTGTCTATATTCTGTAATTAATAGATCAAGATTTCCGTCCAAGGTATCAAAGAAGCGCGTTATGTAAATCCTAAGACAAACTGTACAATTGTATTTATTTTTTTGAAAACTCTGAGGTTAAATTAAATATATGGACAATAATGGACATATTATTAAGCCAGAGATAAAAAAGAATATGACACCTATAAATTTTAAAAAAGATTTACATTGCAAAATTTTGAAATTTAGGAAAAATTTTTGAGCGGTACAGACACATGTCAACGAGATATCGATGTTTCCATATTCCACGCACTCACCCCTACTTTTTTCATAGGAAATGTCATGTGCCAAAATCAGTCTTATCTTACTGCCGCCCACCCGCCCCCTATTTTCTCAGAGGATATGTCATTTGCCAAAGTATGACTTACCTTACCAAGCACTACCCCCTCCCACCCGCCCTTTATTTTCTCAGACGGTAGTACTTACTAATACTTGCTAAGATAAGTCTTATTTTCGAAAATGACATATCTTCTGAGAAAATAAGGGCATGTGGGCGGGGCTAGCACTCCCTAAGATAACACTGATTTTAACTCTATTAAACTTTTAAAAAAGATTTAGGACCAAAACACCAGACTCCTTTAAACTTATCCGAAAATAAAACACCAGGGGATCTAAAATTAACTGCGAATATTTTAAACATAGGGTATTGAAAACTTTGAAAATTTTTGATACGTCAAAAATGTTTAACTGATTACAAACTTAAAAATGAGTAAAATGGTACATTTTTGCAAGGAAACATGAACTTTGCAATTATGGGGCAAAGCCTAATTGCAAAATAAATATTTCCTTATACAAATTTTCCATATTAAACATGTTTTAAGTTTCATGTTGTGAAAAGAAGTCTACACATTTTATAGCAAAAAGGCAAAATATAGGCCCACCCACCCGCCCTATCTCAATTGTGATGATTTTTTTTATTCGCCATGAATCAAGGAGGCGGAGATTAACTGCAAAATACTTATTTCTTTACAAGAAATTAAAAACGTGTTCTTGAGTATCGCGTTGTTCAAAGAATACTGTGTATATTAACAAAAAAAGCTAAAATATAAACCCCGCCCACCCACCCCGTCTCAATTGTGATAATTTTTGTATTCTTAGAAACTTAAAACACGTTTAATAATAACGATTTTGCAATAAAATTCCGCTCCCGACATTAAAAAAAATCATCACAATTGAGGCTTTCTTATATTTTGCCCTTTTTTTAATATACCTACGTACGCGTCTTTTCAGAACTAGAAACTTAGACTTAGACTCAGACTTCTAAAATAATTTACAAATTGTGTTATACAATTTCGAAAACTTTTACAAAAACCTGTACATGTTAAAAATATATGTACACTGATAAACCACAAGTGTGAGACATCGTGATTAAATTTTTTTGAGAGAGAAACAGATAAATTTCGATTAGTAAATTTAGTGTGTAGGATAACTTTATGAATTATGAATTTGCAAGATTTCAGAGCGAGCGTTTTATACTTTATAAGATACATTTTTATAATTTTGATTTTTTTCAAATACAAGAATAAAAAATTTAGGGCCAGGTTATACTGCGGTTAAATGAATCACGCATAATCTTATAAAATTCAAATAGGATTGAGATGACGTCATCAAATTATTGGTGGAGACGAATAAACAACACACGTCAACGAGATATCGATGTTTCCATATTCAGCCAGCTCTCAAACATCGAGAAAAAATTAAATCGATGGTTTTTTACGCTGAGGAAATAAAAAGATATTGTAAGACCCACCACTGACCCGGAAATGACCAGCATTTAGGCAAGATTTCTATCATTACTACTAAGACCAAGTAATGATTATTATTATTGTTATTATTTAAACACCGTTAAATTTTAAATCAAATGATATTGGTCTAAAATTTTTTTTTGATGGTTTATTCGCTGTAATACACAAAAAACACAAAATAAAGTTAAGATTTTTCCTGGTAATAAAGTTTGCGTGGAATTAAAAAAAAAATGCGCAAACTTAAAACTTTACGCAGACAAGACAAAACAAAACCTTTGGAAGCCGTCACTCCATATAAAACCCAATCAATTTCCAGCTCGCTTGATGCATTAATACTAGAACTTGTGGTTGCAGAGGTCAGCAGGTCATGGATGCCAAATTCCACCGCGTCAAAACTAAAGACACCGATGACGACGAATTCGCCCCGAGCGAAATCTACAGGATATGGAAGAATGTCCTTGTGATCGGCTTCGCTTTTATGATCCACTTCACGGCCTTCTGGGGCACCTCCAACTTGCAGAGTTCCGTCAACGCGGACGACGCTTTGGGAACATTCACTTTGGCTGCCATCTACGCATCTCTAATTTTATCCAACATCTTCCTCCCGACTATCGTAATCAGGTAAGGAACTCGCTTAATATGCGCGCTTGTGGAGTTTATTAGGCGAACTCAGCACACAGTTAGCATCGGTAATTATTATTGTAGATGAGGAGTTCACCTGAGGCCTGTGTGGTTATGAATTGACAGCCTGTGTGAATTAGATGACAGAGATGTGTTTGATGTGTTAAGGCAAGCGTAGGAGTGAGCGTAGTAATTGCGAGGTCCAAAAGACTTTTGAGATACACGTTATGCTTAAATGAATAATTGTAACCAGTAATAACTCTAATTTATTGTGGATATGTTATACAGACGACGTTACATTTCTGGAATGTTGTGTGACTGGTTAATAGACGAACATTGTTGAATTGATTGAAAATTTTGAAAAAAAATCTAGAAAGTGAGTGGCGCTGCTTAAAGTTTAAGTACTAAGGCAATCAAGTTTGGACAAGAACAAATTTGCAAGAGTGGCACTGACTTTCTAATGAAATGACAATTCCCGGCGAAAAGGTGCAAGTAATAAAAACGATACTAACAATAGATGAACAATATAAAGATATATGCGTAACAACAATCACATATGAATAATAGGATAACAAAATTAGATAAACAATTGAACTTTTAAACTTTTTTAACACCAAAAATATAAGGTTACGATACTTCTCATCAAAATTGTGTGATGGGACATTTTAATAAAGTAACTTACGCTTGGAAAATAAAAATATGATTATTTGTATGTTTCTAGAGATTCCTGTGGAGCTTGTTTTTCTGAATTCATTAATGTGTCATATTTTAATCACCCATATTCTGCCATTGTCTTTGATTCGAACGCATTATATTACGAAAACACACTCTTTTTGAAATAAAAAGAACAGTTTCTGTTCACTATTTTTTTTTTATAGTGGACAGAAAAGTTGCTCCAAAAATATGAATGCATTGATAAAACGCAAGACTATGCCTGTGTTTTCGTGAGTTTTCCCATTGGAAAATTTTTAGATCAACATTCCAGCAAGGACTTGTATATCAATTCCGTCAGGTATATGGAATAGTAATAATAAAAAAATCGAGACGCAAACCAGAGCGCCTCCACAGGTCTATGAATCAGCCTTAAGTAGCCTACGTATTAAGTGACTAGAAGAAGAGGCTGAAACAATAAAAAATACAATAGTAATAAGAAAGATGAGGTAGATTCATAACCCACAAATACAAGAGTATATCATTTTGTAAAATTAAAATTTCGTTAACTAAATAAAACTTTAACATGGAGTCATAAAAGAAAAATCCATTAAAGCATAACTAACTAAACACTATAGAAGCTGTTCAAAATTCCTGCTTTTTGTAAGTAAGCTCGTAATGTTTCCAAATTTTGATCATTTTTTGTAAAAATAAGCTAAGTTTAGTGTTTTTCTAGTTTTATGAGCAAAGAGTAGCCCCGCCCACCCACCCCTTCGCCATTCCAGTGACTACTCTTAATATTGTTCAGTTCTATCTTAACAAGTTTTAGCCCCGCCTACCCGGCCCTCATTTCCTTGGAGGATATATCATTTACCAAAATCAGTCTTACCTTATCAAACACCGGCCCCGCCCACCCGCCCTGTATTTTCTTAGAAGGTATATCATTTGCCACAATCAGTCTTATCTTAGGGAATCCTAGCGCCACTCACGCATCCTTTATTTTTTTAAAGAGTAGGCAGAATCTTTTATAAGCAAGCAATAACTCCGCCCACTTACCCCCTCTTCATTACAGTGATTACTCTTAATATTTTTCAGTCATTTATCAAAATCAATCTACTACTACTAGCCCCTCCCTCCCGCCCTCTATTTTCTTAGAGGGTATGTCATTTGCCACAATCAGTTTTATCTCAGCAAGTACTACCTACGATAAAACTAGTTTTATGTTAGCAAGTACAAACTAAGATAAAACTGATTTTGGCAAATGGCATACCTCCTAAGATAAAAGCGGGTGGGTGGGCGGGGCTACTAGCTGCTAAGATAACACTGACTTTGGCAAATGACACACCTTCTAAGAAAAGAGAGGATGGGTGATAGGCGGTGCTAGTACCTGCTAAGATAAGACTGATTTTGGCAAATGAGATATGACTTAAATTACGTCTCCTAAGAAATTTAATTAAATTATTATAAAAAAGACACTGGAGGCTCCAAAGCACTTCAAATTCTTTCCAAGCAGGAATACCTAGAACTTCAAGATTGCTCTAAATTTTTCAAAAAAAAAAACGGGTTCTTAAAATTGACTCAAAAACGGGTCAGCTCAGAATTTTCCATAAATAGAACACCAAAGTCCTCCAAAATTCTTTTAAACAATTTACAAAAAAATTTCCATGGGCTCGCAAAATAATACACCATGGCTGCCCAAACACTGCGGCACCCAAGACTTTTTCAAATTGGTAAAAAATAAAATACTGAAAGCTCAAAATACAGGGTTATTAGGCAACCCAATATACCGATTCCACCTGAGAGTTGGGAATAAATTGTCAAGCTTTGAAATTATTTTATATCCTATAAAATTGGATAAAAATAATATTTTTAACAAAATTTGGTATCGTTTAACCAAAATCAGTCACGTCAATCTGTTTAGTTTAACACTTTTGATCATTTATTAAACCTACAAAATGGGTTTGATTTATTCGGGTTCGAATGTGATCAACTGATTCTAAAATTATTCGTGCTTTAGGAAATTAACTGAATACTGGTTGTCAAGCTTTGATCTCTTTTTATTGATAAAACCATGAAAAAGTTGAATTAATTTACTCTGGTTTGAATGTGATCAATTACAGTGAAATATATCCAGCATTTTTGAATTGAGTTTATCAACTTGGATTGGTGCAGTGTAATACTAAAAATAACAGTATTGTATTCCCAAACTTTTTTGGGCAAATGGAATGAGCCGTTCCTGATTTAATCAATAAAATAAATTGACACATTCATTAATTTTTTTGAGCCACCTGTTTAAGCTAATCTAAAAAATATGAATCCAATGATAAATTACAAATAACAAGTCATCATATTTTGTAACCTTCGGGTACATTTAGGAATTTAACTTGTTACCATGGAAATTTACATTTTAACACCTTTAAATTTCACAAAGAGTTTTAACAAAAATTTCTCAATTTTATCTTAACAAACACTAGACCCGCCCACCCGCCCCCTATTTTCCCAGAGGATATGTCATTTGTCAAAATCGGCTTTATCTTACCAAGTACTAGCCCCACCCACCCACCCCTATTTTTTTTCAGAGTATATGTCATTTGCCAAAATCAGTCTTATCTTACCAAGTACTACTGCCGACCACCCGCCCCCTATTTTCTCAGAGGGTAGTACTTACTAGTACTTGCTAAGATAAGTCTTATTTTGGTAAATAACATATCTTCTGAGAAAATAGGGGCGGGTGGGCGGGGCTAGCACTCGCAACGATAACACTGATTTTGACTCGATCAAACTTGTAAAAAAGATTTAGCAACAAAACACCAGACTCCTTTAAACTTATCCGAAAATAAAACACCAGGGGATCTAAAATTAACTGCGAATATTTTAAACAAAGGGTATTGCAAACTTTGACAATTTTTGATACGTCAAAAATTTTTAACTTATTACAAACTTAAAAATGAGCAAAATGGTACATTTTGCAAGGAAATATGAATTTTGGAATTATGGGGCGAAGCCTAATTGCAAAATAAATATTTCCTTATACAAATTTTCCATATTCAACATGTCTACACATATTAATACAAAAAGGCAAAATGTAAGCCCACCCACCCGCCTTATCTCAATTGTGATGATTTTTTTTATTCACCATGAATCAAGGAGGCAGACATTAACTGCAAAATACTTATTTCTTTACAAGAAATTAAAAACATGTTTTTGAGTATCGTGTTGTTCAAACAATACTGTGTATATTCAGAAAAAAGCCAAAATATAAACCCCGCCCACCCACCCCATCGCAATTGTGATGATTTTTTTATTCATAGAAACTCAAAACACATTTAAAATACAAATAAAATAAATAACGATTTTGCAATTCACTTCCGCTCCTTTGGTTCCCTACAATAAAAAAAATCATCACAATTGAGGCTTTCTTTTATTTTGCCCTTTTTTTAATATACGTACGCGTCTTTTCAGAACTAGAAACTTAGACTCAGACTCATACTTCTAAAATAATTTACAAATTGTGTTATACAATTTCGAAAACTTTTACAAAAACCTCTACATCTTAAAAATATATGTACACTGATACAAGTCTATTTTAAACCAGATTAATCTAACAAAATTTTGAGATAACGTGATTAATAATTTTTTTTAAGAGAAACAGATAAATTTTGAGTAGTAAATTTAGTGTGTCTACGATAACTTTATGAATTATGAATTTGCAAGATTTCAGAGCGAGCGTTTTATATTTTATAAGATACATTTTTATAATTTTGATTTTTTTCAAATATCTAGATGTGAAACAGGATAAAAAATAAAGACGAGTTAATAAACTACAAGAATAGAAACATATAGGGCCAGCTTACACTGCGATTAAATTAATCACGCATAATCTTATAAAATTGAAATAGGATTTCCTTAGCAAAATTTTGAGATGACGTCATTAGCGTGTAATCAAGATTATCGTAGAGTATACCCAAAATTACCCTCAATTTGCATGGAATGACTAACACAATGTTAAATACTTAATGCCTTATCACAAATTTTAAATAAGATCATTTTATTAGACAAATTATAACATTTGTTTCTACAAATATAAAGGTAGCAAACGCACCGCGAACAAAACATCTGGAGATCTTTTTTTTCAAATATTAATTTCGTGATTTTTAAAAAAACGTTATGTTGATAAGAAAGTTGTTGTTAGAGAAGACTAATAAATTATATCTTATCAATCAAAATTATCTTGCTAAAATAAAAAAAAATCGTTGTATATAAAGGGGAACATTACATTATAACTTAAAAGCAAATTTGTTTAAAAGGAATTTTAGATAACGTTATCAAATTTAGCAAGCATAAAAATG